GTGTTCCTTGCGCGTCTCTTTAGTGGTGCTGGTAGCTCGGTTGGCAGGGATGTCGCTTCGTGGTCGCGGTCGCGTTCAGGGGTCGAGATGGCCATCTCTCTCACGCGTCCAGATCGCAAACTCATCCACACAACAGTATTTTCGGTCCGTTGCGATATACAGTCAGTCGCTAGCGATTCGCTACTGCATACAGTTGGTCTGGTCGATAGAGCATACACTCGCTTGCATAATCGGCTTCTGGTTCGAATGCAGCTCAGACATTTGATGTCGCAGGGATTTATTTTGCGCCAAGCTAGATCTTTGCCATACGTAGTAATATTAGCGCATATGCACGTTGATTGGGCTGAGCACAAGACCGCCGCCAGGTGAGGCGACAACGCCCCCTTCACGTACTCGCCTGTAGCGGATGATAACAGCTCTCTCCTTCGCTTGCCCTGTCACAGCAGACTATGACTTTACTTCACTCTCCGCTCTTGTGTAGGGCCGAGGCTACGTGCTGTGCTTTTGCACGTTACAGATGATCTCCACCGAACGAAATAAAGTCATAGCCTGCTCTGATAATCGCAGGGTGAGAGATCCGCCAAGCTGCAGGCAGGCCACAAGGCTGAGGCTGAGCGACAAAAGATGTCGAAAGCGCTGCTGTTGCTGCTAGGCTATGACCAATCCTTCTTTTCCGCATGAATCGACTCCCAACAGGCGTACGTTCATCCCTCCCCCGACTCCATAATCGCTCCAAATGCCACGCCAACTACGCCGCGAAGACTACACCGTAGGATGGGTGTGCGCGCTGCCTGTCGAGCTGGCAGCAGCCAAGGCGATGCTCGACGAAAGGCACGCCAACGCTAATTGTGATGTCGGCGACAATGACGAGAACGTGTACTGCATGGGATCAGTTGCAGGCCACAACGTTGTGATCGTATGCCTTCCAGCAGGCCACATCGGGAACAACCCAGCCGCGACCGTCGCGACCCAAATGCAGACAGCATTCAAGGGCATCCGATTTGGGCTGATGGCAGGTATTGGCGGAGGCGTCCCGAGCGCCAGCGCAGACATTCGACTTGGGGACGTGGTGGTGAGCCAGCCGCAAGGGACCTTTGGTGGAGTGGTTCAGTACGACTTTAGGAGAAGAACGCCAAACGGACTTGAGCGGATTGGATCGCTGAACTCACCACCTCGGATACTGCTCAGCGCTGTAAACACTGTAAGAGCAAATGCAATAATGAACGAGAGCACATTGTCAGACCACCTATCAACACTCGAGCGCATCCCTACCTTCCAGCGCCGCAAGGCAGGTCCCGATATCCTATTCAAGGGTGCCTATAATCATAAGCACGGCGCCACATGCGACAGGTGTAGCGTTAGGAGTCGACAACTACGACCAGAACGCGAGAGCGGAACAGAGGTAATAGTACACTACGGCACGATTGCTTCTGGCAATCAGGTGATAAAGGATGCCGCCGAGAGAGACAGGGTCAGCGCAGAGCTTGGTGGGGTATTGTGCTTTGAGATGGAGGCGGCGGGGCTGATGAACAGCTTCCCATGCCTTGTCATTCGCGGTATATCCGACTACGCCGATTCACACAAGAATGAGCGATGGCAGGCTCACGCGGCAGGGACGGCAGCGGCGTATGCGAAGGAACTGTTGTCGGTAATACCGGCAGCAGATGTGATGAACACACGCCGTGCGGAGGATGCTATAAGCAGCGGCGGGAACAGTTAGTTCATTTACCGTATTGCTACTAAGGATGTATTTGAATTAACATGTTGATAGAACATCGCCGTCAGTCATCACCTTCTGATCATGCTTCCTGTAAGCGCATAAAGAATGTCATCTCTAAGGGCTCAGAGAGTAGTTCTGCAGAGTGAGTCTTTCATATCCCTAAGTGACACTCCCTCAATAAACTTTTACTAAACTACACAGACAGTGGAATGCCACACGTACGTTGCTCAATCGCCCCCAAATGCGGACACGGCCTATTCTTACTATGCTAGTCCCTACTCACTCCCAGGAACCCTCGCGAACACCGATGAACGATGAACAAAGGCAGATTCTATTGGACTCTCTAAGATTTCAGCAGATTGATGCGCGCCAGATGACTATCAAGACCGCCCACGCCAAGACGTGCAGATGGCTCTTGAAGAGTGAGCAGTACCTCAACTGGCTCGATACAACCAGGCTAGATGAACACCATGGCTTCTTGTGGATCAAGGGCAAGGCCGGAACGGGCAAGTCGACGTTGATGAAGTATGCGCTGGTCAATGCTCGCAAGACAATGAAGGACTACATCATACTCTCCTTCTTCTTCAATGCGCGTGGCGAGGAAATAGAAAAGTCGACAGTTGGGACATACCGTTCTTTGTTGCTGCAGCTTCTCGACCGTCTCCCAGCGCTTCAGAATATTTTTGATTCGCTTAGCCTATCAGCCTCAAAGTTCACCGCTGACTACCAGTGGAACATCGAGACACTAAAAGCACTGCTGGAGCAAGCGATACAGAGCTTAGGGGACTCGTCTGTCATATGCTTTGTTGATGCGCTTGATGAGTGTGAAGAGGAGCAGGTTCGGGATATGATCCAATTCTTCAAGCATATCAGCAATCTAGCCGTATCAAACCATATCCGCTTCCAGGTATGCTTCTCGAGCAGGCACTACCCGCACATCACAATCGAGAACGGGCTAGAGCTAGTACTAGAGGGGCACGAGGGACACTCGCAAGACATTACTCACTATATTGAGACTGAGTTAAGGATTGGTAAAAGTAAGACTGCACAGCAGGTCCGAGCCGAGCTTCAGCAGAAGGCGTCGGGGATTTTTATGTGGGTTGTTCTCGTTGTGGGTATCTTAAACAAAGAGTTCGACGATGGGCAGGTATATGCACTTCGAAAGAAGTTGAAGGCAATCCCTGGAGACCTGCACAAACTGTTCCGTGACATCCTGACACGAGACGAGCACAACAAGGATAGACTGGTGCTGTGCATCCAGTGGGTGCTCTTTGCGAAGCAGCCGCTCAGTCCGGAGCAGCTTTATCACGCTCTTCTTCTAAGTATCGATCCTGACGCTATCTTAGAATGGGACGCTGAGGAGACTACAAAAGATGATGTTAAGCGGTTCCTCCTTAACTCTTCTAAAGGTCTCGCTGAGGCTACCATTTCTAAGGAGCCGAGGGTTCAGTTCATCCATGAATCAGTAAGGGACTTTTTACTTAAAGAGGACGGTCTCAGCAAGATCTGGCCAGAGTACGGTAACAACTTTCAAGGTCAAAGTCACGAACGACTAAAGCAGTACTGCCTTGACTATATTAGCATCGACGTTGCTACACCCTTGCAGATTCCCGACGAGCTTCCGAAAGCCTCCTCGCAACAGGCAGCCGACCTGCGCAAATTAGCAACCCAAACATTTCCCTTTCTAGAGTATGCCGTCCGCAATGTGCTGTATCATGCGGACGCAGCAGAAGTCGGAGGCATCTCTCAGGCGAAATTCCTTGACAGATTCCTTGACAGCTTCCCGCTTTCTCGGTGGGTCAAGCTCGACAACTTACTTGAAAAGCATCAGGTGCGGAGACACACGGAACGCGTCAGTCTGCTGTATTTGTTGGCCGAGCTTGACATGGCAAATCTTATTAGAGTTCTCGATTCAGCCAGCCGCTGTATGGACGTCGAGGTGGAGCGCTACGGCTGCCCTCTTTTCGCCGCAGCTGCTATGAACAGTGAAAAGACTCTTGAAGCGTTTCTGAAGTCTACTGAGTTGCAACAAGCTGACTGCAGCTTCGGAACAGTAGTGGGAGAACAGCAGTCTCAGCGCAAGTTGGCTCAGCGCGCCGCAAGACGTGACTTTGTATACTCGAAGGCAAACAATTTCCTCTTAAATGCAGCAGAGCTTGGGCATGACGAGGTTCTTGCTCTTTTGATCAAATCAGGGAGATTTAGGATTGGTTCGAAAGATTCGAGGAATAGGACGGTGCTATGGTGGGCTTCCAAGAATGGCTGTGGGACGTCGGCGAGGCTGTTGCTCGCTGCAGACTCTGCCATGGTCAACAGCAAGGATGACCACGGCACGACCCCACTAATTATAGCAGCGGAGCAAGGGCATTACGAGATGATTGAAATGCTGGTAGACAAGGGCGCCGACGTCAACGCCCAGAGTGGATATTACGGCAACGCACTCCAAGCAGCTTCAGCTGTTGGTCACAAAGAGATCGCGATGCTGCTGCTAGACAAGGGCGCCGACGTTAACGCCCAAAGTGGATATTACGGCAACGCACTCCAAGTAGCTTCAGCTAATGGTCACAAAGAGATCGCGATGCTGCTGCTAGACAAGGGTGCATTAAGAACATAGAAGTAGCTTTGTTGTTTCTAGTTGTACAGGATAATATATGTAAATGAATCATCCATATGTCGCACGCATTGTTATCAAGCTAATAGTTGTATAATATAATATTTGATATCTACAAACACTAGTTATTGTTAATGAATCAGAATCCTCTTCATGTACATGCACATTGCGCCTATTGCTTTGTATGCGTTGGATTCGATAGTACCACGAGATCATAAAGTAGCCTAGAGTAGCGATACTTGGGGCTTTGATATCAGCCGCCCAATATGGCCGAGCAAATTAATGGATTTCAGTCCTCTTAAAGGCGTTGTTGCGCACATCTGACAATGCTTCAAGTTCTTTTTGAAGAAAGCAGGACAGTGAGAATGGTTGGTGTCACGTGCAACACTATAAAGATTTGGAGAGATTTCTTCGTGGCTGAGGCTTAGAGCGCTTTGGGCAAAGCTTTTATCCCAGCCTTGCAGCGTGCTGTAATCAGGACCGGAAGCCGATTGTGCAAGTGAGTGTATTAGTGACAAGTGTGCATCACTTGATTGTTTTTGATGTATCCAACTTCTCATGGTGGGTTAGGAAACGGAATGTATGGGGGCAAGGAATCAATGACTAGACGGGTTCTTTGAATGCGTTTTGCAGCGGGGTTGAAGGGGGGGGGGGTGGCATTGGTTATGCAGGTAGGTTAGAAATACCTCGAGGGGGATTGGACACATGTGAATCCTTAAACAGAAATATAGAATAGAGAGGTTTGTTATCCTAGGAGTGAGTCCGTATATGTAGTCATGTGCATGAGTGATTACAAGTGGCGGAACGCCGTGCCACACAGCGTACAGAATATCCCCTTTGGGTTTGCCAATCCATGAAGCAAGGGAAAGACCAAAAGAAGCACGGATCTCTGCATCCGATCACGGAGCCCTCCCCATAATACAAAGATGCATACGTATGCGTGTAGTTATACGAACAAACGTTCACGTGTTTGGATGCTGCAAGGCAACGGGAGGGGGAGGGGGAACCCAAAGTGCGGGACGGAGGGTGCGGGAAGTGCGGAGGTCATCTTATCAGATTGCGACGGTCTGGGCAACGACGCGCCGGACGTGATTCGTTCGTCGGCACGTTTAACCTCGGCCTGGCACTGGGGAGCGAGGGAACGAGGGAGGAAGAGAGGGAGAGAGAGGGTCCGTGATGATGCCGCGACGAGATGCGCAGAGCGGCGGCGGCAGGATCATCACACAGAGAGAGAGAGAGGAGACAGTATCTTCTGGAAGCACACAGCATCATCCCCATCGTGTCCGTCTTTTATTTATGTGAGGACGAGTTACTTTATCGTTAGCAGGGCACACATTAGGTGTCAACCAGAATTGCTTTTTTGTTTCTTGTTTACTATACATTTCGCACACACACGCGCGCGCACCCTTCAGCCTTTTCTGTATCGCTGTACCGTTCAGCTCTGGGGTTCGGTTGCTGCTCTCCTTGGATCCCGTTTCTTAAGGGGGGGAAGAAAGAGAGTCCGCACCCTCCCGCCACTGATCCCAGCGGTAGCAACTCCGCACGTCACCGACGCGAACCCCAAACGAACTGGCTATTGTCGGTTTTGGGCACTTTTCCTACACTCCTCATCGTTGGGAATTCCCTGATTTCAGTTTTCCCGTCATTGTTTTTCTTATTGAGCAAACGTCATGATGGGCAAGGGCTCGTCCAAGACGAGCACGACGGTGCTCCCACTCATCCCGCTTGCGCCACCCCTCGCCGTGCTGCCCGGTACAACGCTCAAGATACCGATCACCAATCGTTCCGATGTCGCTGCTATTCTCGCAAAGATATACAGTATCAGTCCGACGGCTAAGCCGGATGCCGCCATCACGGTCGCGTGTGTGCCGCTCAAGTCGAATACACTGGGCCCGGATGGCAACTTGTTGATTGAGGATGGACATCAGCACGACAAGACGCATTACGAGAGCGATCCCATACTGGCGACGAAGAAGGATATCTTTGGGTATGCTTGCGTGGCAAAAGTCAGCGGAGTGCAGGGCCGTAAGCAGGGTGATTTGAGCTTGATTGTCGAGGGGCTCGAGCGAGTCCAGGTTGTTGATGTTGTGCAAGAGAGGCCGTACTTTGAGGGAGAGTTGGCGGCTGTTGAGGAATACAGTATGTCTACACCTGTCTCTACCCATGTGTATATGGCAAGCTAACAACCCTCAGTCGACATTGCGAGTGCAGACCTCCTGAACCAGTTCAACCTCCTCAAGCAGTTGTCACGCGAGCTACTCGCCCTAGTCCGACTATCCGCTATACTACCACGCACACCACAAGTTACGCTTTCGCCTATTGTCGCACGGAGACTGGAAATGTTCATCACACGAAAGGACTTATCGGACGCTGGCCTGCTCGCCGACTTCATGGCCAATGTGGTGGATACCACACACGAAGAGACGTTGCGCGTACTGGCATCTGTGGATGTCAAGGAGAGGGTTGACCGGGTCATTGAGATTCTGCAACGGCAGATCAGCAACATCCAAGGCAACACGCGCATGACAGTTGCGACTACACAATCATCCAACGGCACGTTGGACATGGACACACTACGAAAGCTACAACAAGAAGCTCTCAAGAGGCGGACCAAGATGGGCGGTATGCCTCCTGGCTTCCCTGCCGGGTTTCCTGGAGGAGGACAACAGCAGGCGGGTGAAGATGAGCCGAACGAGATTGATGAGCTGAAGAAGAGACTCGAGGACGCGAAGCTATCAGCAGAGGCCAACAAAGTGGCACAGCGCGAGTTGGCAAGATTACAGAAGATGAATCCAGCGCAGGCAGAGTATCAGGTGTGCCGGAACTATCTCGAGAACCTTGCAGAGATTCCATGGAGCAAGATGACGGTTGATCAGCTGGATTCCAACACGCTGGTCCGAGCAAAGAAGCAGCTTGACAACGACCACTACGGCCTGGAGAAGATCAAGAAGAGACTACTCGAGTATCTTGCCGTGCTCAAGTTGAAGGAGCAGGCAAATAAGAGCATTGACGATCAAATCCGGTCCTTGACCGAAGCCCCTAATGCGGACGGCGAGGGCGAGGGCGAGGCCAAGCAACCAGCAACTAGAGCGAAGGAGCCGTCGGAGACCGAAGTGCGGCTCTTGGAGAAGAAGCGCATGGTTGACAAATCGCCCATTATGCTTCTGGTCGGCCCGCCTGGTGTAGGAAAGACATCACTAGCCAAATCGGTTGCTACTGCACTCGGTCGCAAATTCCACCGCATTTCGCTCGGTGGTGTTCGTGACGAGGCCGAGATCCGAGGCCATCGCCGGACATATGTCGCAGCCATGCCCGGGCTTATTGTCAATGGACTGAAGAAGGTGGGAGTGGCAAATCCCGTCTTCCTGCTGGATGAGATTGACAAGCTTGGCATGTCAAATCACAACGGCGATCCTGGCGCAGCGATGCTCGAGGTGCTGGACCCGGAGCAGAACCACACATTCACGGATCACTACGTGAATATCCCTATTGATCTGTCCAAGGTTCTCTTCATTGCCACGGCCAATTCGCTGGATACAATTCCACCTCCGCTTTTGGACCGCATGGAGACTATCCAGCTGTCGGGGTACACGACGCTTGAGAAGCGACACATTGCCTCGAGACATTTGATTCCAAAGCAGATTACATCGAATGGACTGCAGACGGAGCACGTTCAGATTCCGACCGAGGTGCTTGACAAGATCATCACATCGTACACTCGTGAGTCTGGGGTGCGGAATCTGGAGCGGGAGATTGGGTCCGTCTGCCGGGCCAAGGCAGTCGAGTATGCGACAGCCAAGGACACAAACACGGTAGCGGCCTACTCTCCGGTGGTGACTGTAGAAGATGTCGAAGCAACACTGGGAATTGAAAAGTTTGCCCAAGAAGTAACTGAGCAGTCTGCGCGACCGGGTGTAATCACAGGCTTGGTAGCCTACTCAACGGGCGGCCAAGGATCCATCTTGTTCATCGAGATTGCAGACATGCCAGGCCAAGGACGCGTGCAGCTGACGGGCAAGCTGGGTGACGTGCTCAAGGAGAGTGTAGAAGTTGCTCTGACGTGGGTCAAGGCGCACGCATTCGACCTGGGGCTCAGCACGACGCACGACGAGGACATTATGAAGAACCGCAGCATCCACGTGCATTGTCCCAGCGGAGCGATTCCCAAAGACGGCCCGTCTGCCGGCCTGGCACATACCATTGGTCTTATTTCGCTCTTTAGCAATCAGCCTGTTCCACCGACGCTGGCCATGACTGGTGAGATATCGCTGCGCGGCCGGGTTCTCCCTGTGGGAGGCATCAAGGAGAAGCTGATTGGGGCTTTGGGCGCAGGCGTGGAGCGAGTGCTGCTGCCAGAGGGCAATCGAAAGGATGCTAGTGAGTTGCCTGAGGAGGTTGTCCGCGGACTCAAGATTGAGTTTGTGGGACATATCTGGGAGGCGCTGGGTAAGGTTTGGCCTGAGAGATGGGAGGGTGAGGGCGCGAGGGGATGGGAGAGTAGGTTGTAAGTTGATGTAAGTACAGTATAGTATTGGGGGGGAGATATAAGTAAAGAGTTGTTGCATTAGAATGCAAGAAAGGCATTTGCGGGGAAGGGATGGAAGTGGTTGGTTAGTTGTTTGTCTGTTTGTTTATCTGGTTGGTTAGGGAAGGGGCGTTAGTATGGCGGTGCGATGGGTCATTGTAGTTAGTATGTTTGTTATTTAGCGTTGCATTGTTAGTTTATACATAAGAGACTCTCCTGTCTATCAAGTATTTACCGTGCACATGTCTAGGGAGTGTCAACTGTCAAATCTCTCTTCTCTTCGTATCAGCATCTAGAGAGAGACAAAAGTATAGTCGATCCCAATCTCTCGCTCTCTACTTTTTCACTACTAGCTATCAAAAAAGATACGGACAGCAGAAATATAACTAACGTGTCCCCCTTCGGCGCCGAAATGGTATCCTGTTTGGGGGATGCCGAACGCAACCGTATAACATGAAAGCCTGTATTATACAAGCACAAGGGGGAGCAGCTCCACACCTGAGTGGCAAAACTCGAGCATCGAGTCAAACACCAATGGGGGGGGGGGGAATCGCGAGGCGAGGCGAGGCGAGCGAGAGCAAGAGACAAAGAGAGTGTGTGCGCGGGTGCGGGCGCGGGCGCTACCTACTATGGGATGCGCGCACACACATACGGGGCTAGTGTGTGGACGTTCTAGCCTTTTTGCCGTTGTGTTCCTCTCTTCTTTCCCTGGTTTTAGGTTGGTGCCCGATTTGAGAAATTCGGCTCGAGCAGAAAAAAAATTATTAAAAAAACACTAGATAAGAAATGATGCCCAACTAAGGGGGGGGGTTGGTGGGTGGGGGGTGTTTTGCATTAAACATGTATGAGGCAAGTATGTGTTAGGAAGAGATGTGATGATGATGCGTATGGGGAGAAAAAGAAAGATGACAACAAGGAAGTTGGAGACGAGGGAGTCGGACCGTTGCACCGGGATACCGTTTTTCTTTTATTATTTCCCTGACCCTGCATCTCGTCAGATGCGCAGTACTGGGAGGTAAGCAAGGCTTATTTGTTAGTATTTGTTTTATTATGCCTTTGCGTTGGCCCCAAGGTGTGTGATGAAGGGATAAAGAGTGGTTGGACTGAAGAGGAAATGGGAAAGAGGGTCGGAGAGATATGGGCCGTGTTTGAAGGGGAGCAGGGATTGGGGGGGTGGCAGAGTATTGAGCATGCCGCAATAGTGGTACGTTTTGGGCACTAGCAAACGGGCGCGGGTTGCGAGGGGGTGTTAAGCGAGACATCTGATTCGGCAGGTATATGCTGTAGTGGGCGGCATGAAAGTTTGTATTGTGGTTTTTTGAAGCTACGAGGGAGGATGAGGGCATGGGATGCAAGGCATGGAGACGGAGATGACGAAAAAGATGATGGTGACATTTGATGGTGGTGATGACTGCTGTATATGGCGGGCTGCGTGGGTTTAGTGCTGATGGGGTGAATTGAAGCAGTGCAGGAGTGGGACTAGTTGAGAGTGGATATTGGGCTGGGCATGAGTTAGGTTAGGGTGGATGTGTGTGTGTGTGTGTGTGTGAGAGAGAGAGAGAGAGAGAGAGAGAAAGACATGTGAATGTGAATGTAAATGCGTGTAGTAGTAGTAGTGTAATAGGCATAGGCAAAGGGGAAAGAAAAAGAGTGGCATCGATGTGTTACATGGAGTCGTGGTGTTAGCGTGGACGGAATGCTGGGGTATTGGGATCGAAAGGTGGTGGGTGTGAGGCGAAAAGAAGGGCCGGGCGGGCGCGACGAGTCCAGGTGGGCGGAAGCAGCGGTGATGAGGCATTGCACCAGCCCGCGACCCAGCTCACAGGGAGCCGTGCAGCCGTAGCGACCCAAGCCAGCAGGCTGACGGCGATTCTGTCGGTGGTTTAGAGATGGGGATGGGTATCTAGTTACGTATGTGTAGAGCCGTTATTGGCCTTGGATGGCCTGGCGCTGGGGGTCTGAGAGTGTGCAGCGGGCAGGCGGGCCAGCGATGTGACGGTGCAGCGGAGGCAATATGTGTCGACGAGTGGGTATGTAGGATATGTACATGGGCAGGATATATGGCAATGCTACGGTATACTGTATGACATGTGCGTCCCCACGGGCAAGCGTCTCGTTTTGGCGCTGGTGTCGAGGTGGATATGGACATGGTGATAGGGAAAAAAGCCCGTCGCCGCAGTCAGCCGAGCCAGGGAGCTGTGCCTTGGCCACCAACGGGCCGCTTGCGAGTAGTTCGGGGTCGATCCCAGCACGCCGGGAGACACCATCGCTTGCCTGCCATGGCCTGATTGTGATGCACGGGGGCATACTTACTACATATACATACACGACGAGGCGCATCCATTCCAACTGCCTCGACTTGGACACTGCCGCCATCGCAAGCCACCGACCCATCCGCCCGTCTCGCCAGCAAAAGTGGTGCCGGTGCCGGTGCCAGTGCCAGTGCCAGCAACGAATAGTGTCTTGTGCGTGTGTATTGGCTGCGGGCGCCAGTGGGGTTCGCCTACCAAGCCTTCGGTGTCCCTCCCGACCAGTTTGACCCAGTGGCCAGACTCCAGGGATTTGGACACGACCTCGGCCTTGCACCCTCCACACTTTCTTACTGCTGCTGCTGCTGCTACACTGCACACCACCACCACCACCACCGCCGCCGCCGCCAACAGACATCGCCCTCACTGTCACCGTCACTGTCACCACCACCAGCCATGTCGACGCCGCCCAACCCGCCGGCCCAGGACAAGGCCAAGACGGGCCTGGGCAAATATGTAAAGAGAATGAGCACCGTCTTCAAGAGGGACCGCTCCTCCAAGTCGCAACCGCCTGCCACAGCCCCGGACGCTCCTTCCTCTTCTTCTGCCGCTGCACCTCAACAACAACCACCACCACCACCACCACCTCAGCCACAACAACAGCAAAAACTGCAGGACCAGCAACCCTCCCCCGCATCACCACCTCCTCAACCCCAACAACAAGAAATCCCGTCCGTCGACAATGAAGCCGCAAAAGACACCACCACGTGAGTCTTCCAGTAGACGCCAACACCAACACCACTAACAACATGACAGCCCCGCTCCCGCTACAAAGTCCTTGGACCGCAACGCCATGCAGCAGGAGCGTGCCCGCGCTCTCTTTGCAAAGTATGGCCTCACTCTTGAGTCGCATGAGTGGATCGCCGCCCCGGGCCCCATGCCCCCCCTGCAGCGTGTCGAGAAGCCCATTCGCATGCGTGTCCACCGCACCTGCCACCGCTGCGGCACCCTCTATGGCGCCGACAGGACCTGTGTCCAGTGCGAGCACAGGCGCTGCAAGAAGTGCCCTCGCTTCCCCAAGAAGAAGACGCCCGAGGAGAAGCAGGCCGAAAAGGATGCCCCCGACCAGCCAAAGAGAAAGCGCATGCTCACCATCCGCACCCGCGCTGGAGACGAACTTGTCTACCAGCCCACCAAGCAGCGCATCAGGCGCACCTGCCACAAGTGCGCCACTGTCTTCGTCCCCGCCCAAGCCGTCATCTGCCAAAATTGCCACCACGCCAGATGCACAAAATGCCCCCGCGAGCCCTCAAAGCTCACCAAATGGCCTGCCGGATACCCCGGCGACGCCGAAGCAGACAGCGAAACAGAGGTCGACAGGCAACTCGAGACGTTTAGGCGCACTTGGCGGAAACCAAGAACCAGGGTTCGCTGGCAGTGTGAAAAGTGCAACAGCCTCTTCCAAAATCACCAGCCTCAGTGTCCAGGTTGCGGACACGAACGGTGCGATCAGTGTACCAGGTCCCCGTATGTATCCCTATTACCTCTTCAACACCATCATCGTTTGCTAACACGAAGCAGTGTCAAGAAACCAAACAAGTCTGATCAGTTCGACGCCCAGGTGGTTGCAGCTGTCGAAGCCAAGCTCAGAGCCATGGGCGTGGATGATGAGGGGCCCTCTTCAGCCGCAGAAGCTACTTGATTTTCTGTCATTTCCCATGCTGACCATGACGCCTATTTGCTCGTTTTGTTTCTGCAGCTACCTTGACCAATTCCAATCCTTTGCATTTTTTTCCTCTTCTCAACATACATATCATCGACCGTTTGACAATCACCTTTAAGCTTTGACTTGACATCATCACCCTATCTGACACTACGTACCATGACAGCCACAAGTTTCATTTCCCTAAACCCATGCCCTTGTCAGTGACACGAATCCGTATATTCAAACATGCATCTAACCGCACTGACCCATCCGCCCCTCGCCTTCTGGAACATCCTACACGCTGCATCTCTTCAGCCCCAGATCCCGAAATTCTCCGTCCCAAGCCCCCCTAAGCAAGTAAGCTAGTTCAGCTTTACCGCCAGCCCCAAACTTGTCTCGGCACTCGAACCCTTTCAGTCAGGCATCCCACTAAACAACAACAAACTGCCACTCATGGTCTGGGCCCCCCCTTCCTTCTCCGCCCTAACTCATTCAGCCACTCTTTTTTTTCTTGTCTCTCTCTCTCTCTCTCTCTCTCTTATTAGTCTATTAGTCTCTTAATCTCTTAATCTCTCTCTGTTTTCCCCAGATGCATCATGTACATGTAACAGGGATGTACGTAGCCCCATCTTTGTCATCTCTTTTTCTTTAGTCTCTTGACCTCGCCGACCTGGCGGGGGTTTTTTTAAGGTTGTTGATGAGGTTGTTGGCCAGCGGTGTATGGACGTGTTACGTGGTCAGCTGTATGTGTTTTTCTTTTTCTTTTTGCTAACTACATTCGTGCTGTTTAACCGAGTTGGTTGGTAAAAACGGTGAAGGGATATGGGGATTTCATGAGCTGGTAAATAGGTGTATTTATTCAAGGTGGGTTGAGATGGTTGGGTTTGGTTGTAGGCAGTGCGTATTCTAGTGTCGGATAATATACGGTAGGATTGCAAGTAGGGGGACGTGTGCATGGATCCACTGCAATCGACACTTTGTGCAAATACTGCCTATTCTGTTGCCAAGTGCAGATCATGATTCGTGAATGCAGGGAACAGTTGTAGTCAATCACGTGAACTCAAGTTAGTTAGCTTGTACTAACTACTTATGCTCACTTGGTGAGATTCGTATTGAAATAACATATATCTATCAGTGGTTCATTGAAACAAGCTGACTACAGTGGGTAGCTGTACTATTTCTACTACCTGTGCTGTCTACTGCATCGTATGTCAGAAAAAAACCGTGTTAATAATCAACATGACTCTGAAGGCCGAATGGAAACATGCATGGACCGAACATGCTCAGTATAACCAGTCACGATACTTTATATCCTGTCGTGGTCAAGCTTATCTAGTCATGGGGCTCAGTAAGCTCGAATCCGGACGTCGACGTGAAGGAGCCTGAATACGGGTCAAGCTCGACCTACCAAGTGTCTGCGACATGGACAGGAGATACAAAGGAGGTTTCAGTATATTTTATTCTGCTGCCTTCGTTGCAACCGTATCGTGGTTGTCGTACCCGACGGAGGTGTGCCTAATGGGCATATATCCATTGAGAGGTGTATATTTTTGGTAGTATTACCAAACCATTCCTGAGGGTTCAAAGCAGGATCTTGCAGACCCTCACCTGATTTTTTCAATTTGATTGCAAAGTCATTTTTTTTGATACCCGATTTTGGCAGATTAGGGTCTGGCCTGCTATACAGCAAACAGAGAAAAAAAAAGTCAAGTCAGTCAGTCATATTTTATTTCCGAATAAGTTGATCAAAACTGCATTCGAGCGCTGTTGGAGCTCGACATACAATTCATCTCTTTTGTCCTCAAAGTTGCACAATCAAGCTTGACTACTACTCCACATATTCTAACAACAAATATATGGTATGATCGCAAGTAACAAAATCGTGTAGACACATCATGTAGTCTTCTTGTAGCAATTGTCACTCCTAAATACTTCCTGTACCAGTGACAGCTCTAGTGAATGAGTGCCATCGACGTACAAGTACATGTGTTCATTGCAGTTACTTCCAAATAATCCCGTCTGTCACAAGCATCGCCTGTCCAGATACCTATGCACTACAGAAGCGCAAGTAAAGATATGTATACACACACCATAGCCAGCCCCAAATAATCATAACATCAAAAACGCCATCTGTCCCAGTATCAAATCCCGTATCTGAACTGAGACAGTGAGGATATGTGTGAAGCCATTGTCAGCTTATAATGACCAATCCAATACAGTATTGCCTCCCACTTCTTCCACTCCTGTCTTAACACACCCCAGCATACCCCTAATCGTACACACTCTCCCCCCTTCTCATCCCTCCAGGCCCGGTCCCCTCCATGCGACTCCGCTGTCCTTGAGCCATCATGCTCGCCAAGTTCCGTCCACGCACCTCCGTCATGTATTCCATTTGCTCTGCCCCCATGTTCCTCATGCCGTTTCCATTCGACCGGAACCCAAAGGAACTGTGTACTGCAAACCCCACGCATACAAGCAGTCCAGCTCCGATGATAATAAGCAGGATGATGACGGGCTTTGGAAGAAGGTATCCCTCGTCGCGTTTGATAAGGGGTGCAGCGGTTGTATAAGGGAGCATGCCGAGGATGAAGAGTGGCGTCAAGATGGTTGTTCGTTGTAATCGTGCCATTGCTGTTGAATTCGTGTCGTAGCGATCGTAATAAAGGAGATAAAGCGATGTATATATGTCCAGATCGTTAAAATGAGTGTTATCAACGACGACGTCTCGAACCCACAAAACACTTTCGAAATGGGCAAACAATGTAGATGGAAAAAAGAGAGAGAAACTCCCCTAAGAAAAACAGCGAACCAGGCCTCTCAAAAGGCAACACACAACAACCAACGAATCCTTTCAACCCAAAACACCCAAAAACTCGGCTCCCTCAATTCTGGCGCCATTCACCTGACCTCCCCCCCCCCCTTGTCACCCTCAATACTTTCCCACCTGCAATCCTTCATACACACACCCAACCACCCAACCGACCTCACCCATTTCCTCTTCGGCTCAAGGCGTCCTCCCCGCCCACCCACCTGATTGGCCCTTCCCATCTCGATACTTACGCCCTGCACCGCCCCCCTCCCACAGCGTCCCCACTCAAACACGTGACAACCCGAGGGACTCCAATCAGAAGCTCGTATTGTTCCAATCTATTCTGCCTAACTAAACCGTTCTTTCCAACATATTGGGTTGCATGAAGGCGTGGCGTTTGTCGGGACCTGCGTACAGAGGTGGTACGGGTTTTTTTTTTCTTTCTTTCGAGTGGGATTAGTAATGCGATGGGTGGGGAAATAAAGGATTATGGGAGGCCGAAATGGGGAAGGATGGGTCGTTGCCTGGTAATTTATTAATGACGGCGCGGTGATGTATAGGGCTTGCTATCCTTTTTGTTTGGGCTCTTCACCCTGCAATCATCACCTATGTTACTTGGACCTTACAGTCCTCATTATTATTATTTTCCCGAGTAAAAGAATAGGTGTGCAAAGTTGCACTAAACTAATAAACAGTATCTGAGGTGGTACTACTGTCATGATTTTCCTCGGTAAAGAGTGGACCGGGCAGGCAGCTTCCCCCCCCCCCCCAAAAATAGAAATCTACGTTGCCGCATTGAGATAATTGTACGAAAAAGGTTGGAGTTGTGGTCAATGTGTCCCTGTCGATTCGGTTTGATCGCCGTGACTTGGTATGTAAAGTGGGTCTTTGTAATGCGTGTATATGGATGGCGTAGTCGGCGTCGCCGACGGCGTCGGGTGCGCGCCTAGCATGTGGTTGTCTCTGCAGACGCGGTCGAAGTCTAAGCGGTAGAAGATTGCGGCTCTTGAATTGAGCCTGTTTTTTTTTTCGCTTAGGAGCTGGGTATGGATGTCTTCATGGGCTGCTACGAGGAGGTTGGTTGAGAAGGCGTATAAGCAGCCCAGCATAAAGAGGGGAAGTGAGAGGATCATAGTGGCTAAACTCTTGATAGTAAAGTGTCTTTGTGATAGACAAGATATTGAAAATTGGTGTCTGAGTGAACCTCTTGGTAACCTTTTTCCCGCATACAATGGGCCATGCGTATACCCTCGCAAAGTACATTTACCATATATACGTAATCTGACTGTGGATTAATACAAGTAGCGCCTTTTCCCCCTTTGTTCAAAAATATAAAATTCATCGCAAGAGTTTCCCCTGTGGCGCAAGATCCCATGCCCTATGCGACGAGTCGAATACGTTCTGGTAACCTCATTGGTATCTCGGTCTAGTTTACGACCCCTCGGAGTATAAAGATTTCCTTCGCGATATGATTCATATCAATTAGAAGACGATGCAGGCATATCGCAAATTCAGATTCAGGTGTTCCAGCATCGTTCGTCCCTATCAACATGAATATATCCTGGTGGCTATCAATGGCCGTTTCCTGTTGAGCTCTGGACGAGAATAGCAGCGCTCGTGGAAGATCTGCCGATGATCAAGCTACATGCTGCCACCTCTCCCGCCTGGACACGAGAAATGCGCTAATATATGCATGAAATCCATGAAAAAGAAGCATAAGGCTTATTGGTCCTTTCCATTTCTTTTCAATCTACTAGTGCTGCCAGATATTCCCTCTCCACCAATGTTACCTCTACCCAACCCCACACACAATCATCACTCCACTGCCGCGTCCTCATACCAGAAAATACCAGCTACCTACCCTACGCCCGAAAAGTTTTCCACAATGTCGTCCAGATTCCCCAAACAAAGTTTCGGCATGGAACCTTCATCCATCCACTCCAAGTACCTCCACGCCTCCTAGTCGAACAAGGCTTTTCATCTCACCTAGTCCCATGTCATCTCAGATAAGATACATCCTATGACTATTATCAATCCCCACCATTCCAATTTCTACAAATCTGGATTGCGCGTACGAAATACATGCGGTAATATACCTTGGGCGTGATGGATGGTGGTTGGGAAATATATGGAAGTGAGGTGATAATTGCTCCACCAACTAACACATAACGGGTGTTATCGGAAGAGATGAGTATGGTGTATCAGCGGATTATAAAGTCGGAGGGAGTATTGCCTAGTGTAGCCAAGTGGATTACACGAGCCAGAAAAGGTGAGTGCTAAGTGTTATCTACTTCCTGTTCTGGAAGTAGATATTGTTGGTGCAGGTCTGATCTCGTATATCAAGTAGAACAGGTATGCGCAGTAGTGTTTCAAGAACAGATAAAGAGACTGGAATGTGACTTGGGAAAAAGAGAAAGGAAAATATTGAAATGCGAAGAGTTGATTGAAGCGCAGACATCTTTTGTGCAAGTATACTTAATCGGATATACTATGCTTTACAGTAAGCCACGCTGACAAGAGAAGATAAGGTTTCTGACGACAAGACACCAAGGTGCTTAGTACACGATGCAATAGTGCTGACGACAAGATACAAGGTTGTGGCAGCGGATGTTGCTTGCGTCTTGGACAAGTGGGGCAAGGCAGGCGCGGCTTATATCTACTACGCCATCTGCGCAACATCTCTGCCCTTCTTCTCATCTCTCACACACATCACCACAAGCACAAGATTCAGGATATACAAATTCCAAAATATTCAATTTGACAACAACAATGACTGGCCTTCCATTTCTAGGGATATATTACAAAGACATAGGCTTGCGAGCCAGTCGCTCAAACAGGTACAAGTGTTCGCAGACGACTACTCCCCCCGCCACGAACGCGACCGTTTACTTTTGGTACTAACATAAAGGAAGTCTAGTATCTAAACGATTCTCGTTGTGCTGACCGCGCTTACAAAGCCCAAGCGGCGGCGGCGAAGACAGCAGAGAGACCCAAGGCCATGGCATTGACAAGGGAGATGGAGCTGGCGCTGTTGCTCTCAGGAGGCGATGATGGGCTGGCGGTGCTAGCAGCGCCGCTACCGCTGCCACTTCCGGTTCCGCTGCTGCCACCGTTGCTGCCGCCGCTGCTGCTTCCGCCAGAAGTGCTGGTGCCGTTGCCGCTGCCAGTGCTGCTAGTCGAGTTGCCGCTGGAAGAGTTGCCAGTGGAGGAAGTACCGTTGGTGTGAGTGGTGTTGCCGGCCGAGGCGGAAGGAAGGGTCACATCCTTGTCGCAGGTGAGGTCGAAACGGGCGGTGGTGGACAGGTTGTCGGTGATGGCGAACTTGACCTCGTTGGCTGGGTTGGCGTCACGGAGAGTGTACCAGAAGACGTTCCTCTTGTTGAAGAGCGCGCAGCCGACGTTCTTCCAGTAGTACTCGAGGTTGTCAACGCTGCACTCGGCGGCGCCAAAGTCGGGACCGGTGTATGCCCAACCGGTTTCGGTGACCCAGACGTCCTTGCCAGCTGCAACACCCTCGGTAGCCTCAATGGCGCTGGCGAGAAGCTTGCCGCCGTTCTTGACGTTGTTGTCGTGCTCGACCTCGTAGAAGGGGAAAGCGTTGACAGAAAGGAAGTCAATCTCGTCAATGACGGCCTTGTTGGACTCGTTGACCCAGGCGGTCCAGGTGTCGACGTGGGTGATCTTGACGCCGCTCAGGGGGGTACCCTCGAGCTTCTTGCGGGCGTCCTTGATGAACTGGACAATCTTCTCGGCGCTGTTACCAACACCGGACTTGTTCCTGATACCGGGCTCGGAGACACGGTAGAGATCCTCGCTACCGATGGAGAGACCGACAATGAGGTCGGTAAGCTTGGTGCCGTACTCCTCGACGGCGGAGCTCAGGGCCTTGAGCTCATTGTCGATGCTGTCGGTACCCGAGGCCCAGACACCAAGGAGCAGCTTGGAGTTTGTGGCAATGGCAGCCGGGAAAGCGGCAATAGGGGTATCGGTGGTACCCGCCTGAACGTTGGAGTAGAGACGGATGGTGTTGAACTTTCCAGGCGCACCCTTGAGGTTCTGGGCAGTCTTGAACTCCTTCTCGAAGTCGGCCTGAGTCTTTGCCTTGCCCTTGTCGTCAGTAGCGCCCGAGTTGAAACCCAAGACAAAGGAGTCCTGGGCGACAGCGCCGGTGACGGCGGTTGCCGCGAGAACAAGAGCAGTTGTGAAACGCATGTTTAATATGGAAAAATGGCAAGTGAGTGACTAGGGTTTAAGACGAAAAATGCAGAAAAGTGAGTGTGGGAAAAGGCAAGGAAGAAGAGGGAGAAGGATAAATGGTATAGCAAGAACCGGGGAATAGTCGAGGAGCTGAGGGCGCTGCCCCACTTAGTTTTAGGGCCCGCACCCATTCACGCCCGCCCTGACACCCGTCATTGCGCTACCACCCATTCTCGCGCCGTCATTGGCCCGCGGCAAGCCTTGCAGCGGCGCCACTGCTCAGTCATGGCTTGGCGTCGACATTTAGGGGGTGTGTTTATTCGTATTTTGGGGCCATTGCCTATGCATAGCCACGCCTCTGAAACGCCGTGTGGATGACTGTGCTTCAAGTCCGCAGTCTTTCCACCTCTGGCCCCCATCCAAACATCACTCCATCCAGCCCCCAAGCATACACATGATTGACTGACCTGCTCTCCGGCTAAAAGTATCACTCGACGGCCTTCGGACATTGCACCAATCCACGGGCTGACGCGATGACGACGACTGCGCTGCCCACCAACTAGACACGCTTTTGGCTCCTACACTTGCCCCTTTGGCAAATGCGTTCCCTGGGACGTGACCAAAAATACCACCGGGCGACGCATTAAAATCCGGTCATTTTGCCCGAACGATCGTAGGCCTACCCATTACACGGGTACGAGAAGCCACCGATAAATCCAACATTTCATTCACTTCGATCTGCAATTCTTCCTTCCAGTAGTTTTAAACTGGTTAGCAACAAGCCGGCCCCCCCTTATACAGTGGCTGCTGCTGCTTATGTACATTTTACGCTCTATGTTCTATATTGTGAAATAAAAAATGGAATTAAGCATTACCATCAGTATTATGCGAAAATTCCCCCATGCATACCCTCCCCCCCCATCTATATTTCATTCATCCCATCATCCCCTCCCCCTTCTAAATATACGCCGGTGGCCCTTCTCCCCTCTCGTACTTGGGCACGGGATCTCTATCTTCGACATCTCCCTGTCTGCTCATCGCCCACTCCCCAATCACATCCCCAACATCCATCCACAGCGACACTCGCATCGCCCCCGTCTTGATGCACGTTTCCACTTTGCCCATTCTCCCTTCGTCTTTGCCTATCGCTTTGCCCAGCGCACGCAGAAACTGGTCGTGCATGTCGGTCTTTTGTGGCCGGTACTCGAGCACCACCATGTCGGCGTAGGTGACGGTGGGATGCGCCCAGTCCGGTAAGGGTGCGTTGGGTACGTACCGGATGGCGTATAGGTAGCGGATGTGGTCGCGGATTCGCAATGTCTCGGGTTGTATCTCTGGTGTTTTCTTCAAAGGTGGTATGTCCTGGTTATCTTCGTTCCCTTTTTTTTCTTCAGTCAGCAGTCCGTCATATGGTTTTATTCTTTTTGCGTGGTTTTGCAACTCACCGACTTCGACGATGCCGCCGAGGAAGTCTTGGACAAAGTCTCCTGTTTTCTTCATCCGGGGATCTGTGTGCATGCATGGGCTGCTCGTTTCCAGATCCGTTGTTGTTGTTGTTGTTTCTCCTTCTCCTCGTCTTGAATTTTGTCTTCTCGCCTCTCTTTCTGTCTTCTTTCTTTCGATGATTTCATGTGCCCATATTTCCATCAATTTGGTCCTCTGGCTCACGTCTCGTCCTTTGCGGTTTGCATGCTGCTTCTTCTCGCGCGCGCGTATTTCAGCAATGTACGGAGAGTTTGATGCATGCTGGTCGACCCGGTATCCCCATGACACAAAGTCGCCGGCAATAAAGGGCACAGTGGTCAGGAATGGTCGATGCAGTTGTGGTGTGTGGATAAGATAAATCTTTGCGCCGAGCTGTTCGATTGCGGTCGACATGGTGGCGTTTGGTGTGTATGTATTATGTTTCTTTTCTTTTTGGTATGGGTCTGAGCTTCTTCTTCTCAAAAAAAGTCTTTCTTGAATTATCTGCACGCAGATGTAATAGCGTTGTCAAAACGAGGGGGAATGGTAAAAGGAAAGAAAAAAACAAAAGAGAGGTCTTGAAATGGCCGTGAGAAGGTGTGTCGCTTCACTTACACATATATGTAGGTGATTCCCCCCGGGCGCCCATAAGAACGCAATATCAGTGCATTGGTCTGATGCCAGCAAGTCTTGTGGTCCATGTGACAAATATGACATTGCTTGGGCCTTGGGATAGTCAGCACCAAAATGCGTTTCGTCACAGCGGTGAGCATGTGTTTCGGCAAAGACATGTTTCCGGCGAATTACGCCTAGATTTCAGCCACGCCGGTTCAGAGTGTCACTCAGTTACAGCACAGTGCGACGCACTAACATCGTGGGGTATGTAGAATGGTCCTGGTACAAGCGCCACCGCCGATGATGCGGTCTGTGTGTGTGTGTGTGTCGTCGCTCCGATTTCTCTCTGTCCCCCTGCTGCCCCAGTCGCTATTTCACCTTAGCGCGTTGCAGACGGCAGGACCATAGAAATACTAGCCTCGCACTTCCATGGCCTTGCATTGGACTCATATCGTCAGCGCCACGGTTTCAATTAACATCCGAGATAGACCCTAGCTTACCGCTTCGAGATATGCGACTCGCCCACTATGAATCGGTTTCGGTCACTGCAATTTGCGAGACTGCCCTAGTTCAACGGTTCTGGTCAGCTTTGTAGGGGATGCCCATGTCTCGAGCCGGGAGGCGTCCACACAACAGCGGGATGCCAGGGTCGTCAATGCAACGGTCTTGCCTGAAGATCATCAAATGCCCTGTCAGACACGCGTCATGGCACTTCATTTTACCGTGCCTTTTCTGCTTTTTTCTTCCTTTTTACATTTCTTTTTTGTTTCCGCACACGGTCAGCACGTTCGTCCCTGGAAAACGGTCACGCCATTTTTCTTTCTGCTGAAAGCTACATGTGATGGCTCCGAAGTCAGTCCGCGATAAAGTTGTCGTAGCCCGACATTGACTGGCGTTTCGCTTTCCCCGCGTTACAGGATTTACACAGTAGATGTAGAAGATGATCTCCGTGCAAACTTTATATCAATATCCTCTTCCTCATATTGGTCTCAGAGTGTGTTGGCGAACTAGTGGAAAGTGCTTGACCATCAGTGTTTGCGCCTGGGCATCGTTTGCCAAGTGTATACACATGTGCTGCGAAACGATGCCACCAAACTTTATATCTCGGCAATCCAGGCTATGAAAAAAATACTTATTCTGCCTCAAAACAAGTGTTCGGCACTTCCGCCCCTTAACTTGTTATGTATTTGCCGGCCTATATGCTCTGATGTCACACTATGCCAAGCATATACACACGAGAATCATGCGCGCAAGCTATCCTTATGCTCATACTATACGCGCTTCCCCGCACTTCCCTTTTCATGCCCCTCGTGCAAATCATGCAATGCATCGCTTCCCCGCCGTCCCGGCCCCAACAGCCACACTTCGCTTCTGCACCCCGCCGCGTCATGGTGCCCAGAGCGTAACTGTGACTGCAGAGAAACGACTCAGGGGAAATTCGACCATACGAGAACTCTATTCGGCACAAGTACACTACGATCTCGCTCCGCGAGACCATGAACCATGATCGACCAACACATTCACCTTCTTACCCCTTCGTCTAGCAAAATCATAATCATCACAGCACAAGCGTCGAAATAAAACCTGTGTCAGAAAGAGGACTATTAAATATCATTGATTGGAAACGGGCACCGTGGTATCTCGCAAGCAAGCTAACAAACAATTAAGCAAAAAGATAAAAAAAAGAGAGAGAGAAAGAGAGTAACACAAGTGCCTCAGGTATCTTTACGACATGAAAAAAAAGAGAGAATATAAACTACGCACACCAGCATGCAGCAGTCTGCATCTCTTTCCTCTTTCCTCTACATTGAGAAACTCAAATTGCTCCAAAAACATTACGCTTCGTACTCGCTTTTGTCCGTAAGCCTTCCATACCTTTCTTATGTAATGCATACATGCACATCTTGTCACGCCCTAGTTTGCTATCATGAAGAGAAAAAAAAGCATACTCCTCATCTCCCTACTCCAAGATCTCAAAGATCCGCACTCTTGGGGTTGACAAGGTAGATGTCAGGCACCTTGGGTACTTGAGGGCTCTTCTGCAGGGCCAGTTTGATCGCTTCTCTCGTCTTGGCGCTGTCTTTGTTGTCGCCACCCCCTCCAGTAAGTCTCCGCATGCCGCTTCTGAACCGGCTCCTCGCATCCTGTGCTATGGGTTTGACCATATTGTCAAGATGAAACGTATTGGCCTTATCGGTACTATTGGATCGGCCGGTGGTATATTCGTCATCGGAAAAGGTCTCATTCTGTTCGTCCAAGGCAGTGGATGAAAGCGAGGGCGAAATACGCTGGGGTTGGTTTGGTGCGGATGGCGAAGTTACTGAACGCGCATGGAGACCGCCTGGACGTGAAGGATTGCTTGCTGGAGGAAAAGCGGAATTGGCAGGGCCGGCAAAGGAGCTGAAAGCACCTGGTGTCATGACGCCAGGGTCCCGAGCTGGCGAGAGTTTTGCGTCAGAAATGAATCCAGATTGGAATGATGTCACCGAAGCGTTACGTGTCAGGGACTTGTGCAGGATGGGCGCCGTCTGCTGGTCGTATAGATTTTCGCGCATGTCGTGAGCGTATGATCCATTTGCAGAACGTCCCAAAGATGAAAAGTTGGGCAAATCAGTTAGCGTCTCAGCATCATCATCGTCTTCGAAAAAGTCGTCGAGGCTGTCTAGTTTCATGACCAGCTCCCCGATGTGGCTATCACCACGGGTGTCTTCGGATGTCATGGTCGCAGTTCGGTGGTAATCAGACAAGGGGCTGAAAGGAAATTCCTCCTGGCGGAACTCCACCTTGGGCGTCTCCGTATGAGGCGTATGCAGTTCGCCAAAGTTGCCGCAAGTATAGAAAACAGCATGGACATTTGCTCTCGTCAACTGTGAATGCAGAGCAGGCATTGGAATCGACCACCCACTCTCTTCAGGAATACCATAAAGAGATTGCGTCTTTTCAAACTGTTTCTTGTACCCTCTGGTCGAATGCGAACCTGCCATACTCATACGTATATGCTGTTTGTCAAATGGTGCGAGCGTGCTAGTCATGTTGAGATTGATAACGAAGTCGAGGACCTTCAATGCCTGGGGGCAGTATGCGCTTTGCAAGAGCCGAAGGAGTGGTGAAAAGAGATCAGAACCCTTCAATGTCATATCCGGTTTGCGCATGTCAATTTCCGGAAGCAAGAGGCACAGAGCCTCCATTGTGTTGATCTTCATCCAGTCAATCTTGTTCATCAACAAACCAAGAAGGAAGACCAAGCTGCCGAACTCATGGTCAGGAAAGAATGATGAACGTATTGCCAATATGGTCTGCGCAAGAAAGTCCCTTTCATGACGATACCTTCCCATTGCAAAAGCAGTCAGGGCCTCCGAAAGCAATGTATGCTGATAGTGCTGCTCAGCGACTTGGGCAAGCACTTCAGCAGTAGCTCTTGTGTTACTGCTGTGTACGGAGGAATCAAACGAACGTAAAAACCTTGGCAAGTTTCCGAGGACGGTGTACATCAGTCGGCTGTCGTCGCCCACAATACGGCTGGAAGGCAAGACTACCAGTCGCTCCAGGATCCGTAAAGAGCGATCCAGACATAGACTTGATCGGATACCCTTGTACGTGAGCTGGGACAAGCCCTCAAACTTCCCTTCCCACTTTTCTGGGCAACTTTGTTCTAATGTCCGGATAACATCCTCGTTGCCTAGATCAAGCTTGTCAAGGAACCTGTCCAGCATGAGTAAGCTCTCCATGAACTCGCCCTCATGTATCGTGTCCAAGCAGGCACATGTCGTCCAAAAGAGCTGTGGATATTGAATAAGATCTTCTGGTGTCAGTGCCTCAATAATGGTTCTCAGTGTTGTGAGTATTTCCATCGAAAAGGTCTGAATGTCGCTTTCCTCGTCTGATATCGTGTTCGAAAGTCTTGCCAGCATGTCGGAAAGCATCTGCTGATCGAGCGAACTCAGAATACAACGGAAAAGCTGAAATGATCGACATGCAATGTGTCGAACAGGGCAGGAAGTTGCCCAGTTCAATGCTACTCTTCCCCATGCTTCTCTTAACCCAGGGTAGGCAAAGGAGAAGAACCTCATCACCTCCCCGGAAACGTACTCCATTGGCTCAGGTACTTTTGTGGTTGAGTCGACCGCAGCTTTGCCGTTCTCATCATCGTAGCTCCACACAACCTTGCTGTCGCGTTGTCGAATGCCTTCAACAAAGTCTTCGATAGACCTCTTGTCAATGCCCGGTGTATCGTCCTCAATCTTCGAAATGACAAGTTCGTGAATCAAATGCACGAGCATTTCGCGAGCCTGGTCTTGTACAACAGGTGTATAGTGATCCCATAGGACCAGGACCACCTGTAGAAGCAGAGGAATGTGTTCTTTTGCAACTTCGACAGGAGAGACCATTAGATCTACTAACAAGATTAGACAAACCTGGCCCAGAGCGAAGCCCGACTGTTGAGGTTAGTATTGTCATAATAAAAGGATTGGTGTGGATACGGACCTGTTTGTTGCTGCTAGGCAAAACCTTTGTGAGATCGGCCAGGTACGGAAGATTCAGAGCATCAGGCGGTGGTGGCGAAGGTTCGCGTTTTTCGCTCACCATAGATCTAGGGTTGATCTGTAACAGCAGAAACTCGACTACTTTCAGACCAGCGGGTGTAGTAGACAAGTGGACGACAATCTGCTTAGAGTAATCGACATAGTTCTGCTCTCTTCTGTCCAAGCAGAGGTTGATGACAAAGTTCAGGATCAACTGAACGTTACCGCCATAAGGTCCAGTTGCCAGCGCTTGCCAGAGGGCTTGGATTTCATTGT